CAGTGTGACTAGTGACCAGTCTATCCCTACTGACCAGTGTGACTAGTGACCAGTCTACCCCTACTGACCAGTGTGACTAGTGCCCAGTCTATCCCTACTGACCAGTGTGACTAGTGACCAGTCTATCCCTACTGACCAGTGTGACTAGTGACCAGTCTATCCCTACTGACCAGTGTGACTAGTGACCAGTCTACCCCTACTGACCATGTACCAGTGTGACTAGTGACCAGTCTACCCCTACTGACCAGTGTGACTAGTGACCAGTCTACCCCTACTGACCAGTGTGGCTAGTGACCAGTCTACCCCTACTGACCAGTGTGACTAGTGCCCAGTCTATCCCTACTGACCAGTGTGACTAGTGACCAGTCTATCCCTACTGACCAGTGTGACTAGTGACCAGTCTATCCCTACTGACCAGTGTGACTAGTGACCAGTCTATCCCTACTGACCAGTGTGACTAGTGACCAGTCTATCCCTACTGACCAGTGTGACTAGTGACCAGTCTATCCCTACTGACCAGTGTGACTAGTGACCAGTCTATCCCTACTGACCAGTGTGACTAATGACCAGTCTATCCCTAATGACTACTTTAACAGGCATGTACGCTGTCATATTCAATTGTCACTGTGATTTGCGACAACCTGGTGAAAGAACAGTAACCAACTTTTCTTGTCTTCTGGGCGGGCGGGCGGGCGGGTAAAGGGGGGGGGGGGTGATTGTGTGTGTGTGTGTGTGTGTGTGATATTGCATATGCATGGTTGTGTAAATGCATGCATGTGTAGTTAAATGTTGGGATAGCTTTTGGGCTAACCCTGGTTAGCGATAAGACCGATGCGCTGCTCTCTATCTCATGCTAGCTGCGACTGGGCCGGCTTTACACGTGCACTCAACTGCTGGGCATGCGCGCCCAAATGCGCGCCCAAATCGCCTTGGGTAGCTCTTGCTGCGCTGACTTTGGTTTGCACTTTCCTTAGCAGTGTCATTGAGCAGCAACCGGAATTTGTTTGAGGAGAATAGAATTATTTATTCAGACTCCTTGTAGTTTCCTCGCAGCCATTTACTGCACGACAAACATGTTGTCTACCTCTGAAGCACGTCGTATGAACGTGTCGCACTTGCGGGCCGAGCTGGAAGGCCGTAGGCTGAATTCGAACGGAACAAAGCCCCAGCTTCTTGCCCGTTAGCTGCTCAGTATCCAGGGCGCGTCGAGCTCGGCGACACGGGAACCTCGATCCCCGTCGGCCACGCTATCCTTGCGGCAGGAGCACGAGTAGGAGCAAGAGCAGGATCTGGAGAGTGTTGCAGCAGCTTCTCCGACTCCCCAGATCCCGGACCGGAGTAGGAATGACGATTTGCACCAGTTTGTGCGGCAGGATGTACATTCCGCCGTCACTGTTGCCTTGTCTGAGGCGATTGCTCCAATGCTGGCCACCCTCACTGCCCCTGGATCTGGAATTCAACCTTCGGTGGAGTCTTCCAACGCTGGTAATCTCTCTGTTCCCCAGACTATACGACTGAAAATATTGAAGGGTAACTTTGTAGATTTCACCCAGCTCCTGCCCGATACTATTGCCACCTCGCATTCTGCCCCATGCCAGCTTCAGCTGCAGTTCAGCAGTGGCGGCCAGTCTTTGGAGGTGGTGGAAGGTGGCGCTGCCCAGCCTGTTTGTCGACGCGTCCACGACTTGCCGACATGGCTGGAGGCATGGACTCCCTTCATGAACGTCATGTGTTCTGCCAACCCGTCCCGCCTGCAGGAGATGCTCTCATACCAAGCCACCATTGTTGCTGCAAACAGGCAACACTATCCGCAGGCTTGGCTGTCGTACGACACCCAGTTTCGCTTTGCCATTTCTGCTCAGCCAGGCAAGCGCTTTGGCGTCATCGACATCAATCTGCGGCAAATGTCCGTGACTAGCCGATCAAGGCCCACATGTAAGTCCTGCCGCCTCGTCCATCCCGGAGGCGGCCAGTGTCCCTTTCGTTCGCAACGTAACAACCAGCAAGCCTTCAATGGAGTCCATACAGTGTCTAATGGCGAACTGATCTGCCGGAACTTCAACGCTGGGCGTTGCAGTCTCAGCACGTGCAAGTACGCCCATGTCTGCGACTGCTGCTGGTCCAAGGTACACAACGGATCCAAGTGCGGTAGGCGCCAGTAACTCTGCTGCTTTGGCTGCAGCTCCCGCGATTGTAAATATTTCTCCCTGCACTTCACGTTCTACTGATTTCACAAGCGCAAGTCCTGCAGTCCACACACACCTTTCTGTTTCTCGCTTCGAATCACTGCTCCGTAACCAACCTGACAGTTCATTGGCTTTGTATGTTAATAACGGCCTCCGCTGCGACTTTGACATTGGCATAACTAACCAGCACTTGTCCAACCTCTCATCAGCATTCCAGCACTCTGCATTTGTATCTGTACAGCTCACCGCTTCCTGCAACGCCGGCTACACGGCTGGCCCAGTTGATTCACCCCCATTCCCATTTATGTACTGCTCTGGCATTGGTGCCGTTCCAAAAAATAATGGCAAACTATGCTTGATACACCACCTGTCCAGCCCTGCCGGCTCCAGCGTTAACGACGGGATCTCTGCCGAGCCTTTCTCTTTGCAGTTCATCAGCATTGATGAAGCCATTAACATCATTATGTCCTCCCCGTCTCCCGTCTATCTCTCTAAACTCGATGTGAAGAGCGCTTTTCATCAAATACCTGTCCGCCCACAGGATTGGCATCTCCTCGGTATCCTGTGGCAGGGGAAGTACTACTTCGACCGTGTCATGCCATTTGGGCTCTGCTCTAGCCCGGCGGTATTTGATGCCGTGGCAGCCACCATCGAATGGATAATGCACCACGAATTCTCCATTCCCAATTTGCTGCATTTCCTGGACGACTACTTGTGCGTGAGCGTGGGCCGGGCAATGGCTAAATTGTCGCAGTTTGACTAGTGACTTGTCACTTGTTACTAACAACTCCATAAGCGAAGCCATTCAAAACTTATTACACAGTATGATAGTCTGAAGACTAGAGTAACGTTCCAGGACAGTTGGACTGAGAGTTTTCATGCAGAGATGAAGTCCTCGTCGTCGCTGATGTCAATGGACGCAAAAATATCGTTCCGAAATATTTCAAAGAAGGTTGAAAGTTGGTCGCGCCTCATCTCAAACGCTTTGACTTTCTCCACAGGACAAGAGCTGCTATGCTTGTCGTCTGCTAGATCTGGATGATTTCTACTTCACCATCAACGAAGCCTGGTAAGAATACACGATCGTTGTGAGGTCGGTTGATTATTATTTTCATTATTATTTATTCATACCGTCGGCGGAATCTGGTGTATCATGCTAGCTACTCATGTATTGCGCATGTACTTCAAGTTGTTATCACCCGTATAACGCGTATTGTTACGTTATACGCCTTGCTTCACGTGATTACGTCATGTCTCTATTGGACGCATGCATGCATCCATATTCTGGATTCATGTGTTCTTCTCCTTGCTCTTCTTCCTGACTTGAGAATGTAAATATTTAGTTTCTATTATCTTGTCACCAAACTAGTTCCTGTTGTCTAGTAGTAGTGGTGTGCATGAGAACATAACATGGCACAGTGAAGTTTCGTACCTGTGTTTTTCTTGCCCGTGGTGCATCCCGGTTGTGTTCGCACGAGGCCTGCAGGTCCAATTAAATTTTATTTATTTCTCTAGTCGTGACCGTCTTCCGAAATGTCAGATGCAGCTGCACCAAGTGTGCAGAGCGTAGATATCGCTGCTCTTGCTGATCTCTTGAAAAAGCAGATGGAGGCAGCCAATGAACGAGAGAAGAGTCTCGATGCAATAATAACTGGTCTTACTCAACAGAGTCAGCCTCGCTCGTCGCCAGCATCACCAGCTCCAAAGCCTGTCGCGGCGGAGCGCCCCATGCTGCTGTCCTCCGCGTCCCTGTCAGAGCTTGCTGCCTGGCAGGAACTGTGGGAAGACGTTTCTCGGTGCCAGCACCTGATAGCACAGTCAAAGGAAACCAGGGTATCTGCCATCCGTCAGTGCCTTGACGAAGACCTCAGACGTTTTATCAGGGAGGGCACCATTGTCATCGCGACCAATCCTGATGCGTGTGACGTCTTGGAGGCGGTCAAGCAGTTTCTTCGCCGACAAAGAAACCCGATACTTGGCCGTATTGAATTTTATAAGCGTACACAACAGAAAGGAGAATTGTTTGATGGGTTCTACACTTCCCTGAAGGAGTTGTTTAACACGTGTGATTTTGTGGAACACGAGCTCTGTTCTGCCTGTTCGGCACGTGCCTGTTCTACGTGCAAGACTAATCTCGCACGAGTCCACGCAGACATGATGCGAGACCGCATTGTGGTCGGTATCCTTGACGACACCACCTGTCACAAACTGTTGTGCACCTCCGACCTGACATTGGAGGCGACAGTCAAGGTGTGTCGTGCAGAAGAGGCAGCCACACAGACCAGCCACCACATCCCTACCGCCGGCCAAGTCAATGCTGCCAGGAAGTCGTCTTTTCAGCGCACGAAGTCAGCTTCACAGCCCCCAGTTGAGGCGAAGCACACTTCTGCTCGTGATAAGTACCGTAACTGCGGACGCACAGCGCACACGAAATCGCCGTGTCCCGCGATCAACAAAGTGTGCCTCAACTTTAATGGAATGGGTCACTTCCGGGCAATGTGCCGCAGGCCTGCCAAGAAGCCGGACAAGTCGTCCAAGATCCCACAACCGAGCATCTCTGTTGGACGACGCAACAGTTTCCGTTGCTACCCAGCTTGTGACTGAGCCAGAGCCCGTTGCTCTTAGTTGGCTTCCGGATACTGGTAGCGACGTTGATGCCATCGGCACTGTGCAGAAATGTGCAGGCTGCAACGCCTGACTGATCTCAGCGAGTTGAAATTACCATCGCAGCGTCATCAGCGAAGAAATCGCGTCTAGTTCAAAAATTCCAGCTTCCAATAACAGAAAATAGAACTTTGCCGTCACCCTTGTTGTGAAATGATGTGTTGTTTTCCCGTGTGATGGCATTCCCCAAACTGTCTCGTCTAGTCGCGTGCATTTGTGATATGAGCATGCGCGATGTTGTAGTCGAGAGTCCTTTTGTCAGTCTTCTTGTTCGTCTCTGTCAGAGTAGTCTACCTTTCCGTAATGTCCAAATATATTATGTAAAACAAACCAGTCTTGTCCTTTGTGTCCTGCGTCCCGGGGAACGGAATGGCTGAGATTCCGTTACAACGTGGTGCCGTAACCCGGGACGCAGAGGATGAGTAAGTTTGTCATGAGTCTGTTCATCGTCGTCAACAACGAAGTAACTGTTACTTTGAAGTAAGCAGAGCGTGGGAGCGGAGGAGGTGAAGAGCTGGTGGGAGCGGAAGACGACGCGGAGAGGAGGCAGAGAAGGTGATGACTAGAACAGTCACTGTGGACTGGAGCCTGAGACGGCAGGAACCGCGACGGAGCGTGCGGCCGTGGCTCGCCAGAGGACAGTGGACGAGTCTGGCGTCACCGACTGTGTGTAGTCCTTGTTGTTCGTCTTGTTGTCTTGCTCGCTGTGTTGTTCTCTCTCTGTTCAGTTCGTTGCTTGTTGCTGTGTTGTTTCAGTTTGGTTGTTGTCGGTCTGTTGCTTTTCTATTCGTTCTGTTGTTCTCCATTGTTTTTGTTGTAGATTTATTTGGTGCGGCTGTGCGCATGTTATTATTTTGTTGGAGCTTCGGGCCCCCGTGTTTCGGTTGGCCTTGTGTGGCGTGGCCTGGTCGTAGAGCGTCGGCTCTAGGTTTTTGTTTGGCCCTGTTTCGTGGCCCGGATATTAGAGCGTCGGCTCTAGGTTGATGGTTGGTTTTCGTTTTTCTGTTCTGCTGTGGTTCCTTTTGCTGTTGTGCATGTGGAACGTGGTGTCGGTTTATTATTTTGTGGAATGTCATCAAGGAGGCAGGTGTTGTGAAGTGATGTGTTGTTTTCCCGTGTGATGGCATTCCCCAAACTGTCTCGTCGAGTCGCGTGCATGTGTGATATGAGCATGCGCGATGTTGTAGTCGAGAGTCCTTTTGTCAGTCTTCTTGTTCGTCTCTGTCAGAGTAGTCTACCTTTCCGTAATGTCCAAATATATTATGTAAAACAAACCAGTCTTGTCCTTTGTGTCCTGCGTCCCGGGGAACGGAATGGCTGAGATTTCGTTACACCCTATACTGATGACTATTGCCTATGTCCGATTCCTTGCCTCTGGTACGAGTGCTGGTGAGTAAATAGCCCGTTTTATATCAAAAGTCAAACTGCGACAATTTCGATGACGCGAAGGTAGTACTTCGGAGTCCCGCTCGCGCCTGCGAAGGTGGAAGGCTCGTCTTGTACCCTGACATTCCCGGGCACTGTCCTGTATTGTGAGAAGATGGAAGCCCGGCTCCTTGACGACAAATTGGCTGACATGAAGCGCCTCTTGACTACAGCGAGCATCAACCCCACCATGTCCCAGCGCGAACTCGAATCTTTTCTGGGGAAACTCTCCTTCGCTGCAAGAGTCATCGTACCCGGCCGGACATTTATGCGGCACCTGTGGTCTATTTGCAGTCGCTACCAGCAGCCTCACTACCGCATCAGTCTGACTACCGAGTGCCAGGAAGATTTCCAATGGTGGCTACGGCTCCTGGAACAATGGAACGGAAAATCATTCTTCCTGTTCCCAGATTGGACACCATATCCAGACTTGGAGCTGTGCACTGATGCCAGTGGCACCCTGGGCTTGGGCGCATTCAACAGCAGCCGCTGGCTTCAAGGTACCTGGTCGCCTGAGCAACTCGCTCACAGCATTGACTGGAAGGAGCTCTACGCATTGGTCACAGCGTGCTGCACGTGGGGAAAGGAAAAGTGCCAGCTTCGTATCACAATGCACTGTGACAACAAGGCTGTGGTAGATTGCATCCGCTCTGGCACATCCTAGTCACTGCTAGTGATGACCCTGATCAGAGAGCTGTTCTCTGTGTGCGCCCGCTTCAATTTCACCGTCACTGCTGCTCACATTGCTGGCCAGTCTTACTGCATTGCCGAATCGCTGTCTCGTTTCCCCATAGAGGAATTGCAGCGTCTCGCCCCAGCTGCTGAAGCACAACCAGACCGAGCAGTGCTGCCATTCCAGTCGATGTAATAATAGCCTTGACATACAGGTACCGATTGTCATTGCTAAATTGCCGTATTGAGAACCTGCGTTGGATTTCATCCATCTGCATTCTTAATCACTTGTCCTTAGCTCTCATGCATTTGTCTTGAACGCTTGCTGCGGTACCGTGTGCTGGTTTTCTGGGAACAGCTTCCTTCAACTGGTTGCTTTGCTGCTACTATCTATGCTTAAAATTGCATACTATTGGTCGGCTGTTTGCAACGCCAATCAGTAGTCATTGCACCCGGTCGCGGGTACTATTGTCGCTCAAGCATGAGCGATTGCTTTGGCCGCCCCAATTGCTTCACCCTGGTTGGCTATTTGCAACGTCGATCAGGAAACTTTGCACCCGGTCGCGGGTACTGCTGCGGCTCAGTCATGAGCGATCACTTTTGCTGTTTGCAACGTCAATCGCTTCATCAGTTGATCGAAACCAGCACACTGGTGTACGCCAATCATCCTTGTGTACTGTTGTGAGAATACGTGGGTATACATGCAGCTTTGCTCTGTGACTTTCCATGGCATGTACTTCCTCCGCGTCATCGAAACTGTCGCAGTTTGACTAGTGACTTGTTACTTGTTACTGACAACTCCATAAGCTAAGCCATTCAAAACGTATTACACAGTATGATAGTCTGAAGACTAGAGTAACGTTCCAGGACAGTTGGACTGAGAGTTTTCATGCAGAGATGAAGTCCTCGTCGTCGCTGATGTCAATGGACGCAAAAATATCGTTCCGAAATATTTCAAGGAAGGTTGAAAGTTGGTCGCGCCTCATCTCAAACGCTTTGACTTTCTCCACAGGACAAGAGCTGCTATGCTTGTGTCGTCTGCTAACTCTGGATGATTTCAACTTCACCACCAACGAAGCCTAGTAAGAATACACGATCGTTGCGAGGTCGGTTGATTACCGTCGGCGGAATCACCTCGATCTTGAAATGAACCTTTTTTAGCCCCTGCATGCCCATTTATTTTATCTGTGTGGTCACAGCTCATGCAGGTAAGTGTACTATCACGTCCAGCGCGCCCTCTTTTTCAGCATCACTGGTATACCATGGTACGGCACCTGCGCGTGCATCACTAGCACTGCGTGTAGAGTCTGTACAGCTATTGCAGGTACAATCATGTTCTGAGGGTCTCAGCCAGAGCGACAAACTTTATCGCTGTTGCAGGCATTTAGTTTGCTGACCCCTCGATGTTTATCCAAGCCCTGCCACTTGTTCCACGAAGTCATTCTCACCCCAGCTAAGGTAAAACAGTGATGAGGCTTGAGGGAATGGTCATAAGCACGAGAAATGTGCAGGCTGCACCGCCTGACTGATCTCAGCGAGTCGAAATTACCATCGCAGCGACATCAGCGAAGAAATTGCGTCTAGTTCAAAAATTCCAGCTTCCAATAACAGAAAATAGAACTTCGCCGTCACTCTATACTGATGACTATCGCCTATGTCCGATTCCTTGCCTCTGGTACGAGTGCTGGTGAGTAAATACCCTGTTTTATATCAAACGTCAAACTGCGACAATTTCGATGACGCGGAGGAAGTAGTCACTTGGCTCTCCCATTTCCTATACACTGCTCTGATGCATTCGGGTGCAAGCGCTAAAATTAATGTTGTTCTGAAGGAATCAATGAAATCCGACCAAAGTTGATGGTTGGCGCCCTCAACTTGCATACCTTTGACGTCTGCGAAAGGGTACGAATGCACCTCAGCTTGCACATCCACAAATACTTAGTGGAACTGGTGCAGAGAGATGGTGTTGCATTATCTATATTGTGCGTGTAGGAATAGTATGGATATAAGAATAGCTATATTGTGTGTGTAGGGATAGTATGGAAATAAGAATAGCTATATTGTGTGTGTAGAGATAGTATGGATATAAGAATATCTATATTGTGTGTAGGGATAGTATGGATATAAGAATAGCTATATTGTGTGTAGAGATAGTATGGATATAAGAATATCTATATTGTGTGTGTAGGGATAGTATGGATATAAGAATAGCTATATTGTGTGTGTAGGGATAGTATGGATATAGGAATAGCTATATTGTGTGTGTAGGGATAGTATGGATATAAGAATAGCAGACTCAGCGGAGGACGTTCAGGTTGGTTGTAACTCTGAGTTTCATGCCGTTAGGCAATCATCAGACAACTCATACTCGGGTCTACCCAAAAGTATGCTTATAAACACATAGGGCCACAAGCATAAACAAATTTAGCGCTAAATCTGGTGTATGGTATGGCTAGAAAGCTGGCGCGGGCCAAAGCGCGACAGTAGAAGTGCTAAGAGGGTGGCGGGCAACAGGCAGATGTGAGCATGAAAGCGTGGAAAAAGGCGATGGGGAGGCAGTGTACAGTAGATGGGTGGAGGTGCCAGGAGGATGGCGGGCAATGGGCCAGTGCAAAAAGTGAACCACTGTGGTGAATGGGGCCGCCGGATAATTAACCAGCCCGAAGCGGGCGGAAAAAAACCAGGATCCCGGCGAAAGCATATCCCTGAGGAAAAACCGGTTAGAAAATCCCCATCAGATAAATGAAAACATAGCCTGTAGGACCTATCCAGAAGTGGGAATAAAGGGGAGGGAAACTACAATGAAAAAAGAAAAAACACGATGAAGAGAAAAGTTTGAGAACACTGACAAAATACCAGCTGACGCAATCCTGGTGCCGTAACTATGGTGAAAATGCTGGCAAAAAATACATGTTTCGTTTCATTCTCTACGCTCAGCCAACGAAAAATAACATTTTTGCCAGCTAGCTGGCCTCTGCGTACACCGCAGACTCACCCACACGCAACAGAAAGATACAGATCACAGTAGTAGTGTGGTGTTTGTTCACTCACGACGGAAAGGATAGCCGACCCGACAGTCACTGGTGCAGTACAGCGCGAGACACCGACAGCATGTCCTTGAGGGAATCCTACACATACATGTTCTTACATGTGGATGACTTCTAACCCCCTTGCCGCTGAAGAAGGCGCTCTGGCACGCCAGCATTGGCTGCTGCCGTCGCTCCCCCCCCCCCCCCCCCCCCCCCTGAGCGGGAACTGTGCGTGCCATACCCTGTGGGGTCTTCACCTACGCGGGCGAGAGCCGTGTGGATCAATTTGCTCGCCTGGGCGTATGTCATCTTTCCCCGCAGACATGACTGGTGGGTTGCTGCGGAGACCTTGCCAAAGAGAGGTTGAGCGGGTACATGCCGTGCTCTCTCCAAGAAACCCTCTATGACCGACACAGGACATGGTGTAGTAGTCTGCTGCTCCAGCTGGCTCACCATGACCACGTCACCCTGGCGCAACTGGTCATTCTTGTGTTGTCGCGGGTGGAGGGATATATGCGTGCCGCAAATGGAGACATTCTGAGGCGTGAGGCATTGTAAATCGTCCCAGCGAAGCAGAGCAGTGAAGCCGAGGACAAAAAACGCTGCGGTTTGCCAGTCCTGCAACAGGGCGGTAGGGGTAGCCAGTGTGGCGACAGCCTTGTTGAACACCACCGACCTCAAGGGTGAGCGGTGACTGATAGGTCGGCCACAAAGACGTCGCAGCAGTGAGCAATTGTCTCACCACGCCATGTTGTGTCAGATCCTGACAATCCGCCTTACAATGCCCCCAGTGCAATGCCGCACAGGAGTAACGATGATTCCGAGACCTTTGGTCGGAGGAGTTACTTTTGCCCCGCCCCCACTTCCATCCAATATGCCACCGCCCCCGCTGTGCAGTATCTGATGGTACTGTGGTATTCAGTAAAAAAAATGCCGCCACAAATTGATTTATTGGCCCCATGGTACACTGTGCCTGCAATACCTTGAAGATGTATAAGCACACGCTGCTGGTGGGTGCCGCTGGGAATGACGGAACTTGACACGGTACGGCCCACTTTTCCCATCGGTGTAACGCGCGCTGGTACGCAGACGCAGTGGAGCTAGCAACATCCTTCCAAATCACTGTCCTTAGCAGGTCCGCCAGAGGT